CCCCTTCAACATCCAGCTTGTACTTCTGGGAGTTCTTAGTCCACATACTGCTGAAGCGTGCCTTGTAGGATTTTGAGCATAACCTTGCTAGCGTGTGAAATGAGTGCAATTGTTCGGTACTTGGAGCAATCTTTGGCACTGCCCTTCTTTGGGATTGGGATGTAGACTGATCTTTTCCAGTCCCCTGGCCACTGCTGAGTTTTCCATTGATGATGATAAAAAAAGCACACTGGTCCTTTGATATTGGGCTGTGGCACCAGGGTGGGTGACATAGCCTTTAGCCTGGTTTGTTCTTTTTTGCACACCACACATAGAATGATTAAAGTGGTAGGGAACGCCCCCTCCCCAATTCTGTGTTGGCTGTCTCTAGCAAGCATGTCATTGCTAGCACCAGTCTGGTAGCTACTAATGATGATTAAATCCTCTGCGAGCTAGCAAAAATTTAATGTAACTTGCTAGGCACGTTGGACACCTTACTACTCCCTATACCACGCCATGGCTGGAGTGCAATGTGTTCCAGCAAAAATAGTGTGCATCTTTATCAAATTTGGTGCATCCTGCTAGTTTGGTACACAGCCTATGTAGATTCAGTAATATTTTTAATTCAAATAATGTATGATTTCCCTCCTTTCGAATCAAGGGTGTAAGGTCAGCGTATATAATTTTTTGGGGGGGTAAAAGGTGGTGGCGCTGTGGGCTAAACCGCAGAAGCCTGTGCTGCAGGGTCAGAAGACCAAGCAGTCGTAAGATCGAATCCACGTGACGGAGTGAGCTCCCGTTGCTTGTCCCAGCTCCCGCCAACCTAGCAGTTCAAAAGCATGCAAATTCAAGTAGATCAATAGGGACCACCTTGGTGGGAAGGTAACAGTGTTCCGTGTCTAAGTCGCACTGGCCATGTGACCATGGAAGATTGTCTTCGGACAAAAATGCTAGCTCTATGGCTTGGAAACGGGGATGAGCACCGCCCCCTAGAGCTGAAAATGACTGGACCAAAATTGTCAAGGGGAACCTTTACCTTTACCTTTAAAAGGTAAAAAAGTTCCCTGACGCCTGGTGTAAAGGTTAAAGTTTGGTCAGTAGCGCTGCACAGTCTTAAATGAAGAACCTCTCCATGATGGATGAGGCTCATGGGCCAGAATTTCCCTTGCCATTTAAAAAAAAAATCTAGTTTCCTTGTGAGTAAATGCAATCAAAATTGTATTGTTTGTTAAAAGAAGTATTTATCAAATAATTCCTAAATAAAATTCATAAATTAAATATCAGTTGCTAATCAATAGTTGTTGTACTTTTTAAAAGTACTGTTAAAATAGAATATGATACTAATGGACATATTAGTACCTCATGGTGCTGTGGTTAAACTGCTGTGTTGCAGCTAAAACTGTGCTCACGACCCAGGGTTCAATCTCAGGTAGCCAGCTCAAGGTTGACTCAGGCTTCTATACTTCTGAGGTCAGTAAAATGAGAACCCAGCTCACCGGAGGGGGGGGAGTGTAGCCTGCATAATTAACTTTTAAACCACCCAGAGAGTGCTTTAAGGACTATGGAGTAGTATATAAGCAGCATATTTTGCTTTGTTCCTCATAATATAGGTATATAACTATCCTGTCCAATCCCAGCAGACAAAAAAGTAAGCCATCTAAATCGTAAGAAATGGCTGGTTGTAGCTACTGGACTGAAATGAATCCATGGTCTTTATCTGATGATGGAAATACTGTCTGTCTATCTGTTTGTCTCTGTCTATCTATCTAGCCTTACGTATTCTCTCTCTCTGTTGTTATTAATGTTTCCCCCCCTTCTCTTCCCTTCTTTTCTTACATCTTGTAGAGTGAAGACTAACTGGTGAATAATAAATCCATTTGTAGTTATCTTAAATATTCATAGTTCAGAGTACTGAGTCAATTGCAGAGATCAGGTAGTTAGTATACATAAAGTAGGACACTCTGATGGATCTGTGAAGGATATCTATGGTAACTTCCGAGTTTCTGGTCCACACCTGAAGTAAAACTGTGTACATTGTTATATTGGGTTTTGCCTATTGAAGGTATTTTCCTTTGCAAATAATAGCTTTTTATATACTTGTTAGGGACATAAGTTCAGTTTTAAGAGACAGTCTGTGCATGCAGAGTTAACTTTTAATAGAGTTGCAGGAGAAAATTTAAGTCTTAAATTTAAGTCTTACATCATTTTACACAAATACTAGTTTTTATCTATTCTATATAATAGTCAACAAACCACTATTCAAAAATTTACTTATTTCTTACAAGCCATTGCTATAGGTTGAAAACTTGTCACTGATTTCTAACAAATATTTAGTTTCACAAGACAAGAATATCCAGATTGAGAAAAATCTTGCTAAACTTATGCTTTGGATTTCAGTAGAATAGCATATTCAATTCTCATTCATTGAAGTCAGTAGGGTTATTTATGCTCTTGTTTTCTAGGCTGTGTTCATAGCTATCATGGCTGTTTTAATTAACAACCATAGCCAATAAAAAGATTACATTTTATATTTTAAATATTTTTGTTCTGTCTTCCTCAGGTCTTTGTTCTGTTCTGTTCTGAAACCTTTAATGGCATTTACAGATTACAACAACACAAGCAAAATAGAAGTAAAATTACAAAGATTTTACAAATTAGGAGGGAGAAGCAGGGGACAATTTTAGAATTGCAGATAAGAAACCTGCAACAGCAGCGGTCAGGGCATTACATTTATCACTCATGAAAATAGAAAGAATTGACTCAGAAGAATTGGAAAAATAGGAGATCCAAGGTTCTAGAAAAAAAATTCGGAGGTGAGAATGAGCAGGGCATTGAAACAGTACATATGAACCAGGGTGTCAGGCGTCTCTAAACCAAAAACAAACAAACAAAAAAAAGCAAAGTCTTTTCTCACAAGGGATACTGAGAAATCGACCGGCATGGGTGGCTGAAGGAAAAATATTAAAACGGGCTAACATAAAAGCTCTTCTTAGATGTGGGTTTACTAGGGAATGGAAATATTTGGGAGAATGATCCTGAGATGGAAAAAATCCAACAGAAAGAGGGCACATACAGGGTTAAGGTTATTGCATAGGTAATTGAATTCGGCGTGACAGAGCTTGTCCTTGATTATGGAATAAGCCCTAGTGAGATTAATATCTACCAAAGATTCCAGGTTCAGGTCTTTGTTTTAAAACCATTTTCATCTAGGCATGCTTCCTATACATTTTATTTTCATGTAAAAATGTCCTTAGATGAACCTGGATGATGAGGTATCTTTGACTGAGGAATTCTGTGATTCACATTCAACATAAAAAGTCCCTACATGTCTTTTTTCTTAGGCTAATGCTTAGTCTTCATGGTGTTTATTTGTTAATGTCAGTATTTCACTGTTTCTGCCCCATTATTAAATTGATGATGCTATCTGTTAGTTTAAGAGGCACATATTTAATAAATATATGGAATATACCGACTTGCAAAACATGTCGTAGCCAATAAATTTTCACTGTTTATGCAATGCAAATATTACTTATGTGTTTATCCCCACTTACTATTCTTTCTCTCTCCTTTACAATAAAATTTTAATGGGGCTTTTCTTCCCTTCAATTCTCACACCTTCCTATTGAGAAAAGGGTAGCTGGGGAATAGAAAGCCTATTTATAGTTGTGGATCACCTGTTTTGGAGGTACAGAGGTGCTTTTTTGTCCTCTGCCTTTAGTTTACGGTGTGAAGCTATTTACTAAAATCTACTGTGTTTCCCTGAAAATAAGACAGGGTCTTATATTAATTTTTGCTCCAAAAAACACATTAGGGCTTATTTTCAGGGGATGTTTTATTTTACAGTCATGTCATCTTCTTCTAGTTGCTGTACAATGGTGGAGGGCGGGGTTTCATTTAACTGGGGCTTATTTTTTGGATAGGACTTATATTACGAGCATCCTGAAAAATCATCCTAGGGCCTATTTTTAGGTTAGGTCTTATTTTTGGGAAAACAGGGTATTTTTCTTTCTAATTTTCAATAGTTATTCATGTTTCTTAAATGCATTTAGGAGTAGTAATTACAGTTTGGATTTTTTAAAAAGTACTAAATATGGTTCATATTAAGAAGGAGATATTGCAGGTTAGTGTTCGAAATGCAGGATATTATTACTTTGGAATAAAATCAATGAGTTTTTTTTTAACCTAAAAGCTGTTACATTTGGACACTTGGATTCAAACAGATATTTTTTTAACCCTATGAACACAACTAAGATTAGCAGTTGAAATATTGTCTGAAATCCCTAGACTCAAATATCTGACAGGTAAATGGAGGCCATTTTCAGCAAAAGTCCCTTCATGTTAAAATTTGCTTTTTTGTTGGTCCGACAGAACCTTAGCTGATTTATCTTGAGGGGATGGTAGAAAGCCCATCTGTTCACTTTAGATATTTCCCCTGAGAAAATGATGGGAGCTTATATTTATGTCTATAGTGTGGGATATGAGGTTGTCTTGGCTTTACTTGGTGGTTGTCATATTATGTTTGGATTTCATTTTAAACAAATGCCTTATAATATATATGTGTTATATGTGCATGCATGTGCATTTTGTTGCAGAACTAGCATTGGACAAACTGAGATAAACATCTTGAATTATTATGGCCACAGAGCAGAACAAAATCTTTAATAGAGCCATTACTTCCTTAAGATGAGAGTTAATATTAATATTTTAAAAACTAGAAAAATACATATATAGTGTTGCAGTATTACCACTTCTAAAGGTCTTGCAGAAGCTGCTAGATTTTTTTGCATACTGCAAGTATTTGTGCAACTTTGGGAAAAATTATTGCACTTCAGAAAAATATTGATTAAAATGAATTTTGTTACTCAGACTTTCTCATCTTTTTAAATCAAATTTTGTTAAGGGGAGAATATAAAGTATTTTAATTTTATACACTATGAATACATACTATTATTGTGATGGTTATAGCTTCTTCTTCTTCTGTTCAACTGCTGTAACCAGATATTGCTATATCTATTTTTAAGGAAATGGAGAAATTACAGGTAGAGCTTAATGAATATAAACAGCGCTTGGAACAAGCACAGCAGGATACAGGAAGAGCTAAAGATGAATGTCTGAAACTAACAGAATTGCTGGGTAAAGCTGAGCACCAACTGCATGTCACCAGGTACATCTTATACTATTCACATTCACATCAGTTTTCAGTTTGTATTGCTACTTTCTGCCTGCATTTTATCCATAATTGTCACAGATGGACTTGAGTGCTGAAGCTTCCAGGCAGAGCAAAACCAAAGAGGTAGTGAACAAAACATCCAGATAATGGGAAACATGACAGCAGTGAAGCACGATCTGTTCCTCAGTACTCTTTCAAACAAGCAAGTTGCTAATGTCATCATAGAAGAATTGTAGTTTGTAAAAGTTATATACACACAATTGCTATTTGAATATTCCTTGACACACATTCAGGAATGATTTAGATTGTACTGCATATTGCTCCCTATTTCATGTTAACTGGAAAAAAAGGGGCAAAAAAAATCATTTTCCTAGTTACTCATTGCAATTGGCTGCATGTGCAGTTTTATGAGAAAAAACAGATGATATGCAAAACCTTTGTATCTTTAGAAACATGTGTTGTAGAAGCAGTTACTCAAAAAGCTTTCTAAAGTTGACAATTTTTTCCTTAAATGTATTACTGCTATGCATGCTTGAACCCACTAAATACAATAATTTTACCGCTGCTACTTAACTTTAATTAATCTGCAGCTTGAACCTGCTTTTATTTGGTGTCTTCAGGGACATGCAGCCTATCTGCAATAGGAGAAATTCCAGATTCAAAAGTGTGCCAGAAAGCATTTAGATATCTAGTTTTAGGTGTAACTGTGTACATTTACAGGGTGTGTGCATGCATACACACATGGACACAAATATAGGTGGTTCATTTGGGAGATCATACTATGCTTAAGTGATCATGTTATCCTCTTTTTTAAAGAAACAGTGTAAATATAGATCATGGATAGCAGCAGATGGGGAGAAAAACACCCTTCTCACAGCCTGTATTTAGAGAACAAATATGCTAGAGGTTAATGAACTTGGAAAAAAGTTTCGAGTTAGTTGTTAAGACAGCAAAAGTTTGAATTTTGCAGTACTTCTTTTATAATGATTTGTTGTGATAGTTAACCAAATGTTTTATCAATTGCCTTCCTAAGGCTAATCATACAAGTTATAAAACTGTGTGGTGTCTTGGAGAAGATCCAAACTGTAGAGAGATTTTATGAAAAACTTCCACACTCTTGTTAAGGTATACTAAGAGACTAATTAAGCTGAGAATCCAAATGATATGTGATTCCAATTTGCCAAAATTAATAGGTAGACACCACTTCAAGTGTTGCATAAGCATATTTTTTTTCATTGTATAGAATTGTGTTTTGTATGTTTTATTGCAGAAGACAAAGTAGGTTCAGCAGTGATTTTTTTTCTTTCCTAATGGTATAATCATCTTAATTGTCCTGTACCTTTTCATTGTTATAATGCCTACATTTCTAGCTGATTTTTTAAAAACATAAAGTGTGGATATTTTCTCAGTTTTGTCCTATTGCTCTAACAACTAGATTTGTTGATTTGTCCTGATAAAGATCATTTAGCATCTTCACTTCCCTCCTTTGCGCTTGCTCTTATTATGTACTTCCACCCTCCCTGCCTCTCCTTATCTTAATACTTCAATACCACTGATCCCTCATTTTAGTTAAGTACCCTTTTGTTTCTTCCTCTTTGCTATGCTGAATAAAAGTGACTGATGAACTATGATCTATTTGTGATTACCTGAACTTCTATAGTTTGCTTGCAGTTTCTTAATAGTATTGTAGTTTCTTTATATCATAGCATTTAGGTTCTCTCTTAAGCATAATTCATGACAAATATTTTAACTATTCTAGTATTTTATCATTTTGTTAATAAAAGTAGTGTTCTTAATTAGTTCTGCTATGGTTAAGAAACATAGTTTAGAGTTAGAATTTTAAAATGTGACTTTGTCCTGCTTAAATAATATAAAATGCTCATATTTATATTCTGTGAAGAATTTCATTTCCCATACTTACCGAAAGCTCAGCTTTCGTATATAGTTTGCAATTTTAGATAAAATGTCCAGGTTTGACCCTTCTAGCAGAGATTAAATTTTGCAAAACTTGAACCCATCTTGAAGATAATGTTACTGCCACTCCAGGTAGAAAATTCAGTTCTTGATTTACAAAAGGCAAAGGAAGGTAATATCCTAGTATCCTCATGTTTGTTCTTTTCATGTTGCATCTGGCTGCAGATAACTTAATTATTGCAGCTAGTAGATTATTAACATGCATTGTTTATATCTAGACCAAACATACTCTTCTTGCCTGTTTTTATTTCTGTGGTATATTCTTTTTTCAGAAATTGAACATTCTCAGTGAAGAAGTGAAACAGGAGCATATGTGGCATCTGAAATCAATTGTAGAATAAGGACATGAAAATTCACATATCCTATCTTTGTTGTCCATCTGCCACTATAATTGTATTGTTTTTTTAAAAAAAATACACCTCCTTAAAAATAAATAAAAGTGGACATCTTAGCATTCTGAAACAGCTCTGTTTCACATAAGAAGTTTAGATTCAGTGTTATTGTTATCATGATTCATCCACTTTTGCAGATAACAAGTAGGATATAAATATTAACTGCTGTTGTTAGTGCAAATGAGTATTGCTGTTTCCTGTTCTTTGCAATTTTGAAAACTATACAATATTTTCTTAGTAATCTGCATTAATACTATAAGGATGCAATCCAATGCATGCTTATGTCTGACAAGACTTGTAGGATTTCACTCTAAACCTAAAATACAGAGAGCCAAGACTTAACTCTTGGTTCTGCCCCATTCTTGCACTCAGTTGCAAGAATATATTCATGGGGTGACTTATGCTGCTGTTTCAGAAGCGGGGAATAGGGTTTATAATTTTCTTAGAGTTCTGAGATTCTTGTTAAGGTTTTATTTGTAATCAAATTGTATTTCATTCTTCTATGGATTTTATTTGTAGAATTCCAAAGACCTAGTGGATTTCTACTATTATATGCATATGAATAAAAGTAACAATTATTTCAGTTTTGTTCACTGCACCATCTTTTTGCCCATTTGATAATATATATTGGACTGCTTTACATGTAATTGAAAGAACCACCCATTTTCACCATATGCTGGTCTTACCTCTTCTACAATACTATATAATTTCTGCAGCAATTGGAGGGCATTGTATTTTCAGAATCATACGATAAAATGTGTGTGGAGTGCAATGTTTGTCATCTGGTGGTATGTTTAGTACTGTATTCATGCATGAGAATCTCAGTCATGCTGTTTCTAAATCACAGAGTGAAGAGGACAAGGGTGCTTCTAGACGGCATGTTTTTCTGAGGACTCAGAAAGACCCATCACTTAAGTGTGTGGGAGATCTAGATGATAACCTTTCATTGGTAGCACTCTGTATCTTTCTCTTTGTTTTTTAGGAAGCTGTCTTGCTATGATTCAAATCATTGGGCCATCTATCCTGGTGTTCTCAGTTCTGGCTGTCAACAGCTTTTAAGGTTTCAAGGAGAGCTTCATAGTCCTGCCTGGAGATTTCTGGTTTTCTTTGGTAGCCTCCCATCTGAGTATTACAAGGTTCAAGCTTGCTCTGCTTCTGTAATCAGACAAGAGTTATGTGTTTCAGTTGGTATTGTAGTCCAGAAAGTTTTCTTTTTTTCTTACTAGAGGAAAAAATCCGTTAAGAAACACAAACTGCACAGTGCCTTTGAATTGCAAAATGTTGGAAGCTTCAATTAAACAGCACCCTAAATTAATTTCTGGTAGAAACAAGATTGCCCTTGATATGAAAAGTGGCTCAAGTCTCTGTAGGAAGGATTTAGATAGATTATCAAACACGGCTACTTCTTTACTTCTCTCTGAAAAGGAAGAATGTAGCAAAACATTGTAAAATGTAACAATAAAAAGGTTTTAGGACAACTTAAAGACTAGGAGGCTTACTTTAAGTCTGTTAATTTTAAAGGTGCAGTAAGATTCTTTCAGGTTATTTAGAATCAGACTAACATGGCAATGTCTTCGGAAATTGCTTATAGTTAGAGGGGCAATGCTGATGCATCATGTTTGACAGATCAAGCAGTTTAGGACTTTATGTACTTTGCTAGTACAACAAATTGTTTGATCTATTGGAGGCTTCACTTAGGAGAATGAGAAGCCAGATAATTGTTAGCAATTCTCACTCTTCCCATTTAAAGCATTCAGTCATTCTAATGCACTTGGAAAGGAAGATTGGCCAGGACCTTGTTATATAGGCCTACCAGTGTAATTCCAGTGGTATAAATTTCAGTGGCAATTTGCTGCCAGTTAAGAAATTGGTGCTTGTTTTTCTTGTCACATACCAGTCATGTGAGTTCATACATGAAATGAAAACAAGCTCTAACAATTTGACATTGAAGTCAATGATGTTGGAGTTAAGATACGATAATTGATGTCAGTTAAAAAAAACAATTTGTTAAATATTTGTTTTTATTAAATTACAGATCCAGTAGAATCAATATTTTTAGTAAGTACTTGAGCAGACACTCCAGACAGCTTTTTTCAAGTAAAATGGAGCTTAAGCAAATGGTTAACATGTAAGGGTACAGGAATAACATAAAACAATCTTGTTTAACTGCTCTGCGCACAATTCAACTTCCTGACTAGATTTGCTCAGAAAGCAAGGAAACAATAGCTTTGCCTGCTAAGCTGCAGTGTTAACAGTTGACAGAGAAGGATTCAACTCATATTTTGCATCAGGGTTCCCCAACAAAGTTGTATTCACCTAAAACAAGTATAAGAAATTATATGAGAAAGACCTTGCAGCTCAGGGTAGGCAAGAAAAATACTGCAGAATGCAGAAATACTTTGAATGTGTTCAGGCCGAAGGGCCTCAAGAACTATGTTCCAGATATAATTCTGAAAGAGTTTGTGAATGTTATTCCAAAGCTTCTGGTCTAAAGCCAATTTAAGCTACAACTAGAGTAGACCAATAAAGTCAGTGGAACCTGTGTGAGTATCAGCTAACTAGCAGTCATTCCAGCATGTCTGATCAGCAAAACTAAAATTATGTTTAGTCTAGGGTCTATAATTGTTT